GCTCTGTAGCCAGATAGTAATGGCCTGCACGTATTCTGCACTTATTATTCTCCAGGCCCTTTTCTAAGGGCCTCACCCACCGTGTCTCATTAGTCCTCATGACACTCTCAGGTGGGTGCCACCATAATCCTCATTTTATAGGCACAGAGAGGCCACATTGTCGGCCTTAGTCCACAGAGCCGAGATGAGGCAGAGCCAAGGTTGAACCCAGCCGGCTTCCAGACCCAGTGTTCTGACCTCTGCCCTCCTGCCTCCCACTTAGATCTGATTTGGATCCCGTCCACCCGCCCTCCACATCAGCTTCATGACCCAAGACCCGTTCCTTGTCTGATCTGCCTAACCTGCCCTTTCATCTCTGTAAAGCGGAGGCTAAATGAGATGGGAGGACCGGATGCTCCGTCAGCGAGCTGCTCACTGTCCCCAAAGGGTGTGTGTCTGTGTGGGGCGGGACCCCACGCTGGCCAATCCATTGCTCAGTGATTCTGGGGATGTGTTTTCCTTTTTCCTTTTTTTTTTTGTTAATAGTCATGCATGTTTATTGTAGAAAAATTGGAAAGTACAGAAAATGATAGGCTAAAAGCGGCCTTTAATTTTCCCACTTTATGTTCCTGTCTAACTTCTTTGCTTTGCATATATACAAGTATACATATGTTATATATATACTTTTTTTTTATAGGACTGTGGTTTTATTCACATGCTGTTTCACGGGTCACCTTTTGACCTAATTACATGTGATGAGCATTTTCCCATGGGAACCTATATTCAGCAACACCCCATCAGTCTTATTGCTGGGGGTGCAGTGCCTGTCCAGGGTTTGACCGCCAAACCTGGGGCCCTTGAGATGTCAGGAAGGGAGGCGTGTGCACCAAGGAGCAGAAGGCCAAGGCCAAGGCGGGGTCTGGGTCAGCATCTGCAGCTGTGGGGCCGGCTCACATGTTCAGGTGGTCCCCTGGGGGCTTAATGCTCGCTCCCCCTGAGGACGGTGATAGAGAGACCTGGTCAGGGGCCCCTCAGACTTCCCTGGGGGCTCCTCAGCACTCCCCTCATTCAGTAAGTGGACTTGTGACCACGTGGGGGATGGCACAGGACAAACAGACCGGGGCCCAGAACCCTTCTGTATGTGAAGGGTGGCCGGGCTGCAGCGGGAAGAGGTGAATGCACATAGAGACCCTGTAACTGGAGGAGGGGTGGAGGGGGCGGAGGGTGGAGGGGAGCAGGGCACCAGGGGGATTTTTTGTGTGCCAGACCCTCGTGTGCTAAGTGTTTTACCAGCCTTCTTTGTTTACTCCTTCCCAGAACCCTAAGAGGGAGGAATTGTTGCCCATTTCACAGATGTGGAAACTGAGGTGTAGAGAAGCGCTAAGTGTGCTCCCTGTGTTATCTCAATTAATCCTCACAGCAGGAAGTAGAAGCAATTATTCACCCTGTTCCACAGCAGCTAGGGGACATTAAACCACTGTGTCTGCAGCCAAGTGGCAGAGCTGCAGTCTTATCCCAGGTCTGTTGGCTCCGGAGCGTCTGTCTCTTCCCACCTTAAGCCCGTGATCCCCGGTTCTCAACTCTGGCTGCACATCAGAGCCAGCAAGGAGCTCTCAAAACACCGGTGCCTGGTCCCCTCCCAACCGACGGGGCGGAGTCCAGAGTCGCTGGTGCAGCAGCCCTGGGCCTATGTCTCTGAGGAGCTTCCCAGGTAACTGCAGCGCCTGCTGCTTTGGGTCCTCCGACCAGATGCTCTTCAGGGTCCTTCTGGCTTTAATGTGCCATACGAACTAGAAAGTGGCCAGGGCTGAAAAGAAGTCTGGCAGCAGGCTTAAACTGGGCTTGATGTTTTTGCCCTTCTTCTGGATCTCTTGGATTTGGGGACAGGGGAAGTGGTGCTGGTGGGGGGGTTCCTGGAGGCGGGTGATGCTCTGAGTCAGGCTGTCCTGGGCGGGCTCTGCTGTCACAGCCCCCTCTGTGTGCTGCAGATTGGGTTTTACTCAAGGCCTTATAAGGCTCGTGTTACTCTGGTTGTTTCAATTCCCAAAGGTGGAATTCTTTGCTCTTTCATATTTTTCATACCTTGTCCTGGAAGAGGCGCCAGGAATGCCCAGTGCGTGTGTGTGTGCACAGCCAGCCTGGGATCCTCAGACCGTTCTGATTTGGGGGTCCTCTCCCTGACTGTGCACGCTGTGTACCCTCTGGGAAGGGACCCTGTGGAATCTGCTGAGCAGCTGGGCCCAGCAGCAGCAAGGATGGGGACACTGCCGTTGTCTGGAGTGGGGCTTCTTGTCTTTAAAATAGACTGGGGAGGGGCATCCATCATCACTGAGTGTCCACTGTGTGCCGGGGTTGACGGAATGAGGGACCAGGGAAGAGCTGAGCTGGTCCTTGCTGTCACAGGGCACCCACTCTCCTCTTGTCCCTGGAGAGAGAGGAGGTGGGCGCAGAAGTTGCTTTTAGCTCTGTGGTGGCCTCCCAGTGGACTTGACCTAAGTCCAACAGGTGTACACTGTCGTCGGGGGCCTGGGAGAGCCCTTCTGTCATTTCTGCCCCCTCTTTTCCACCCAGTTCTTTGCTCTCTGTTCCTCTCCAGGGGCTCGGCTTCTTTCCTTTGTGTGCAGGCGGCAGTGGCTTCACCTTGTAAGACTGGTGCCATCTCAGTGGCTGGCCTTTCTCACCTGTGTAAGCTGAGAGGCATTGGAAATGCAGGAAGCTCAGATAAGGGTGAGATAATTGGCCTCTTACTGCTATTTATGGCTCTTTTATTATCTGAAACCTTTGGGGGAGGCCCCAGAAGGCGTGTTTGCTCACAGGGAGAATCAGACTTTCCAGGCAAGCAGCAGCTGGGAGAGGCTGCCCCTGGGTGGGCGCAGGATGGGTCAATGGCCTCGGCAGGCAACCAGAAGGGCCGGGGAGGGAGGAGGCACCCCCAGCTTATTTCTTGCTATGCCCTCTTCCTCCGTTGCCTGGGGTCGGGGGGGTCTTCCCCGTCTCGTCTGCCTGGGGAGCACCTGCTGCAGTCTGGGGGTAGCAGAGCTGGTGTCAAGAGCCAGGCGTTGTAGGCAAATTCCAACCCTGCTACTTGCTGGCCAGGTGATTTGGGGCAAGGTACTTGCCTGTTCTGAACCTCACTTTCCTCATCTGTAAAATGGTCATAATAAGACACACACTTTCCTCAAGCATTCAGCATAGCGGCGGGCTTAGAGTAGACATCAGCACAGTGCAGGGCAGGGGGGTGGTGGTTTCCAGCCAAGCCTGGGAAGACCTGTGCACCCACAGGCACTGGCCTCTTCCCTCCCCTGGGGCTCTGGCTCTCTCTTCCTCGCCTCAGCCAGGGGGCACTGGGGGTGGGCTTGAAGGGGACTTCGCTCTGCTGTGTGACCCCCACTGCCCTGCCTGGGAAGCCAAGGCCCTACCTAGGCAGTGGCTCAGTTACATTACTTAAAATGAAATAAAATGAAGAATTAAGTTTCTAGTCACACAAGTTCCACTAGCCACCCTCCAAGTGCCCAGTAGCCACACGTGGGCTCACCTGATAGCATGGCCATTTCCGTTGTCACAGTCGTCCGTGTTCTGTCACCTGAAACACAGTCAAAAGAGCCCAGCTTGCAGGCCCAGTAAGCTGGTTTGACAATCTGGCTCTGCCACTCATGGGCCGTGTGATCTTGGGCAGGTTCCTCTGTCTGCCACCTGCGGGGCAAGGATGTGTTACTGGGAAGGTAGGCCAAGAGCTTGGTCACTGGAGGTGTTCCACACCTGCCTCTCCTCCCTCCTCGCCCCCTCATTGCTCCCCCTCCTTCTCCCTCTGGCTCCTCCCCTTCCTACTCCCCTACCCCTTCCCACTAAGGGCTCGGGTGCTGGCAAGTTTAAGTCAATTCTTGGCAACAGTAGCTGCTGCCTTGGACAGTTAAAGTCCTCTACTCTCTGGATTGGCAGATGTGGCTTTTTTTTTTTGAGCATGGGCTTAAAGAAATCCAAACAAAAACTTTGACCTTAGGCTAGTTTTAGATTGTGAAGGTAGCACATAGAGTTCCGTATACCCCCTCATCACCCTGTTTTCCCTATTGTTAACATCTCACACGACCACAGGACATTTGTCAAAACTGAGGAACTAGTGTTGGTACATCCCCATTCTCTGAACTCCTGCCTTTACCTGGATTTCACCAGTTTTTCTACTTATGTCCCTATTCTGTCCTGGGATCCCATCCAGGGCCCATGTGGCACTCAGTTGTCATTTTGTCTGCTCCGGTCTGGCAGTCTCTCAGTTTTCCCATTTTTTTCATGATCTTGAGAGTGTTAAGGAGTAATGGGCAGGTATCTTACAGAATGCCTTCCCCTCCCCTAATCTGGGTTTGTTTGGTGTTTTTCTCGTGATTAGCCCAGAGTCATGGGTTTGGGTTAAGGATCCCACCAAGGTGACGCATCTTTCTCAGGGGACATGATATCTGCAGAACATCACTGGGGACGTTTACTTGATCACTCAGTGAAGGTTATGTCTGCTCTTTCCCCGCTGCTTTCCCTTTGCTCCTCTGCTCCCAGGAAGCTTGTTTCTGAGTGCAGCCTGTCCTCAAGCATTTGTGGGGACTAAGCTCAGTCTTTTGTGCATGATCTTGTGAGCTTCCAGGTCCTTGTGTCTCAGAGGCAGGGCCCCCCAGCCCTGGCCTCCATTTTGTGTGTGGAGAATGGGGACATGGAGATTCCCACTGAGTCAGCCCTGGAGGGTGAAGGACAGGTTACTCTTGCTTGGAGAACACTTGATCCTTATGACTCAAGACTGTGAATACATGTGACCTTTATGTTTTTGTAAAGCAGCAGGTGGGCCTTACAATTCCTTCTAAAGGTGAGGAGACTGAGAGGGAAAGGGGCTTGTTCAAGGCAACCCAGCTGTGGCCTCCCCAGCCCTTCTGACTCATGGCCTTGGGGGTGACTGGCCCTGTCATCTGGTGAGGGCTGCCTGAGGCTTCAAGGAACCAGTTATCTGTCCTCCGGGCTCACTGGCCCTGTGTCTCGGCCCACAGGGGGCCAGCGGTGGTGAGCAATGGGGAGGCAGTGGACGCAGCTTTCCCCGGGGTCCGGCGCTCCAGCTGGAAGCGGAAGAGCTCCCGTCGCAGTAAGTGCCCCCCCCCCCAGGAGGCCAGTGTCAGGATCGCCTCCCCTTTTCCAGGCCAAGCGAGCCAAGTGGGCTCACACGAGCTGAGGGGTTGTCCTTGCCGGGTGGCAGCTCTTAGGTGGACCGGCCACTGCCCACACTTGAGAGTTGCGTCCTCTGCTGCCTGATGAGAGCCCAGGTCCAGGGGTGGGGGTGGATCGCACATTTCAGCTGTTCATCTGGTCCCCAAATCCTTCTGAAGCTCCTGCAGCAGGCCAGGGTGATCTGGGCAGTGGGTGCACCCTGGTGACCAAGACAAGGTCCCTCTGGGAGCCGAAGCAGACACATAGGTGGGCAGTCACCTTGCAGAGGGCCTGTGCCGGGATGGGGAGGTGGGAGTTGGGAGAACTCATGAATCCCGAAGGCACAGCGAAGGAGCAGGGGACAGGGGGCGGCCTGTGCTGGGGCCCGAGGGCAAGGGGATGCCTGGCACCTGGGAGGCATTGAGCCTCAGTGTGGTGGGGGTGGGGTCTGAGGGGTGAGCGGGGTGAGGTGGGGCCTCAGAGACCGTGATATCCTGAAGGCGACAGGGAATCATGAAAGGCCACGAGAGAGCCATGTGGCCATGTTTGCTTTTCAGTCCCCTCAGTCCCCTCAGTGTGGGATGGGGGTGACGCTGTGGGTGGGCTGGAGGCTGTCCACAAGAGGGAGGCTGATGGCCAGCGCTGGAGAGAGGTGGGCAGGTCTGAGAGCCATATGGAAAGTTGGGTGGGGGTGTGTGGCTCCAACAGGGCTCGGGGGTCCTGGGACCACAGGAAGCCCTGCAGTTAGGACAGTGGGGTCTGCCGAGTCCATCTGGTCCCGTCTTCACTGAGGGCCTGAGGGGCAAGGACAGCCTTCCATCAGGGGTGGGGACTGGTTTTCCAAACCCTAGCTCAGCAGGGGCCCCTGCCCACAAAGAGGGCAGAGACTGGGCACACAATTTCAGAGCACGTGGTGGTGGGGAGACCTCGTTACATCTTCTACCTAGGAGGCTGCTAACATGGGCAGGGTGTGCTCTCTGCCCTGCTCGTGGCTCCCCAGCAAAACGTTAGGGGTTGATGGGCTCATTTGCTGAATTTTCCACCAATCAGGACCCCGCTGGCTGAGTTTTGGGGGCTCTCCTTAACCCCACTCTCTAATCCATTCCCCCCACTCTGCAGCGTTTCTTCTACTCACCAGGGCTGCATTGCCCTCCCGCCACTGGGTGGGAAGTGGCTCCCTTCGGAGTAGTCCTGGGGGCCTGAGTGACTGAAGAGGCTTCTGGGCCCCAGGGCACAGGTGCTGGGTCTGCTTCATGTCCCTGCAGGTGCCACTAGCCAGATGGGCAGGCCTGCGGGTGGCAGGGAGGGGGGTGGGGTGTGCTGCAGTCACTAAGAGGGTGCCTTGGAGGGGCTGGGGGCGGGAAGAGGCAGTGAAAGCCGGGTCTGCCCTCGGAGAGAGCAGTGGCAGGCAGGGGCTCCCCAGGGGCTGGGCTGCAGGATGCTGGCCCAGCTGAGCCACGGGGATGCAGGCGGAGGAGCTGCCAGCTGGTGCAGTCCTGCTGTCAGTCTGGCAGCTGCCTCCTGCTGGGGCCGCCACAGCCTGGTTTGTGCTCTTTTCCTCTCCCTTCTGTCCCAGTCGACCGGTTTACTTTCCCCGCCCTGGAAGAAGATGTGATTTACGACGACGTTCCCTGCGAGAACCTGGACGCCCATCAACCCGGTAAAACCTCTTCCACGCTGCCCACTTCTCCCGGGACTGGTGGGGTGGGGAGGGCGAGGCCTGGAGAGGGTCTTCTCCTTCTACTTCCTCTCTGGCCCCACCCAGTCTGGGGCCCCTCCTTCTGGCTTTAAAACCACCAGATGATCCCGGGAGAGTTGGGAGCTGGCTGAGGGCGGGGCCAGGCTAGAGCTGGGGAAGGGTTAGAGCTTCGGGAGCAGGGGGATCCTGGGCTGTGGTCCCCAGGCAAGTCATTCACCTCTCCAAGCCTCCATTCCTCCTGAAAATGGGTTATTAGCCCGGGCTTTCCAGGGCTGTGGGGCTGACAGCTTGTGAAAGCTGAATGGTGAAGCGGAGAAAGCCTGGGAAAGCCTGGACCCTGCTGGGGGGAAAGGCCCACGGTGGGCTGGGAAGGCAGGGAGATTGTGGCCACAGTGGGGACACAGGGTGGAGGAGGGCCAGTCGTGCTGGACCTGCAGGCCCCATATACCCACTTCATTGGAGGGAGGGCTCCCCAGGGAGGGGGCTGTTTAATATACATTCACAGTAAGAGCCCTCTTTACTTGAACACGATCTTCATGTTCTTCTCTTCGTGTTTTGTCTCATGTAATCTGCTTCCAAACTTTGACTTAGGATATTACTTCCTTATTTTCACACAAGGAAACCGAAGAGGTGGGGCTGGGATTTGAACCTGGGTCACTCTGACTCCAAGTCCAGTGCTCTGTCCCCTACCCCCAAAAGAACTTGGGTGGTGTTTTATGACAAATGAAGCACATTTACTCCCCCTTTTCAGCCAACCCTGTGAGGCCGGTAGGGCAGGGCTTATAGCTCCAGTTGATGGTCACATCAGAGAGGTTAAGCCACCAGCCCCAGGTCACACAGCTAGAATTTGAAGAGACATCTGCTTGACTCTGCTTTTTCTATTACATTGTTCTGTCTGCCTTCAGGGGTTTCCCATCTAGTGGGGGAAACAGCCCCTGCATTTGAGGATCTCCTAGGCCGATGGAGTGGCTATAACCATCCCTGGGCAGCATATAGTCCAATGGGAGAGACACACAGACAACACAGTGAGGCCTTCGGACCCCCAGAGACACACTCCTGACGCCTGTCCCAGGAACGGGGACAGGTGGGCCAGTGATACACAAATCCCTTTAGCAAGTTCTGATGAGCTTGGAGCCTATTCCTGCTTGTAGCTCATGTGATTCCAGGAGAGATGGGAAAAGATGGCTGCAGGAAGGTCCTGGAGCCGGGAGATCTGAGTGGCCTCTGGCCATTATTTGACGCCTTTGGGCTGTTCTCCCACCTGAATCAAATCAAACTACCAATAACGTGGTCCCAGTCGTCACCGGGCACCGTCGTGTCCCCAGGGTGTGGGGATATGTCATGCCCTGTGGTTTACCCTAAGATGGGTAACAGCGGGTGGCCTGGGAGTTGGCTCTGAGCCTGTAGATTGAGGATCAGGACCCCTGCCCAGAGAACCCCATCCTCAGGCTCTGGGAGGATTGAGGCTGACCCTCAGCAGGTGCCCCACACGAGGAACACTGTTGTTAGCATTACACCTGCCAGGGCCCCGCACTGACCTGCGTGGCCCGTGGGCTCAGTGGATGCTCTGAGGCTATCAGTGAGGTGCAGGCCCTGTGGGCCAGTGGGCACTCACAGCCCTGGGTTAGAATCCTGGGGGCTCAGGGCTCTGTACTTTGGGCCTTGGCTTCATCATATGAAGTCAGAATATCCTGACCTCACAGGACTTTGGGGAGGGTGGCACCAGAGAACTTTGGCTTAATCTCTCTGGCTCTAGTCGATGCATCTGTAAAATGGGCAATAACAGCTTCCTCTGTGGGCTGTTGTGAGGATGCCGTGGGGTAATGGGTGTGGGGCAGTGAGCGGGTGGTGGCAAGTGCTCTGGAAAGGGGGCCAAGGTCTTGAGCACTAGTGAAGCCCAAGGCCCCAAGAGGCAGGGGGTCGGGACCAGACTGTTGTGAGGCCCCTGAAGGCTGAGGAGTTGGCGCAGGCTCAGGAGGCAGTGTGGTGAATGGATGGAGCCCCCTCCCCACTCACTGCCTGGCTGTAGGCAAGCCGTGTGTCTGCTCTGGGCCCCTTTCCTCATCTGTCTAATGGGAGGGGTGATAACCTGCACCCTGCTGACCCCACAGGGCTGCTGGGAGAATCTAGTGAGACGTGGCCTGTAGATGTAAGTGGGTGGGGGGCCAGTGGCCCTTGACAGAAGGGGAGGTAGGCAATCGAGATGCCGCGCGATTCTTCCTCGGGGGCAACCCCAAGAACGGGGCTCTGCCCCTTGGCTCCCGGGTCACTGGGCCTTCGCTGCAGTGATAGGACAATCAGTGCAGCCTTGTCAAAAGGTCACAGCCTGGTCACCAGCTGCTCTCATCCCTGGAGACATTAGTCACTATTATTTTTTGCTTAAAAATAACCCCGTGCTCCCTCCTGATCCCGGGCCCTGAGTCTCCAGCTAAGCCCCAGTGGGTCTGTTTTGCTCTTTGGCCGGCAATCTCTCCAGACCTCCAGCTTTCCAGTGGGGGGGCAGGTGGGGGCTTTGGGTCATCAGTGCAGTGACACCTGAGCCCACCCAGTGCCCCCACGAGTAATGATCTGCTGCCCTTTGCTGAGAGCCCAGCCATGTGTCAGGCTCTGTGCTGAGAGCTTTCTGTGTGTATATTTTATTTACTCCACCTTTCAGCGTATTACCATCCCCGTTGTGCAGAGGTTTCTGAGCAGATTTTTTTCTTAACTCTTCCCAGTACTACATTTCTTGTGTGTTGACAAAAAGCATTTTCACAGCCCAGGAAGTGAAGCCCAGGAGGTGAAGGTGAGGCAGTGGACCTGGGGCTGGGCTGGGACCCCTGTGTTCTGGCCCCGGGAGAGTGGCTTTTCTACCTCAGTCTGGAGGCAGCGTCTCAAAGCCGACTTGACTGGGACCCCAAGAGTGCCGGCCCTGGTGGCATTTGTTCCTCCAGGCCAGTGGACTCTCTGTTTTCAGTCCAAGGCATTTCCTGTGGGGCCCGCGGAAAATCAGGGAACGCGCCTGGACACTGGGCCAGGCGCGCCCCCTACTGGACCATCCTGGACCCTCACAGGAACTCAGATTTGGGGTGAGGGAGCTAACTCACTGAGGGCTCCAGAACATCTCCATTTTACCCCCAAGGATTCTGAGGTCAGACCTGAGGGCTTGAGTCAGGATTTGGTTGTAGATCTTCTTTTTTCTACGAAAAAATGCCAAAGAGGCCCAGAGTGAGCACTCAGATCCTAGAAAGGGGATGCCAATAGTGGGAAGAAGTTACTGAGCTTCCTGTGTGCCTGGCCCATTTCTTGGGCTTTTCTGCATTTTCCATGTCCTCCTCACCCTCTGGGGTGGATGTCGTGTTGTCCTTGCCTCCTTCTTATGGGAGGAGGTGGAGCCAGAGGCTCAGGGCCAGGACCTCATTCACTACTTCACGCCCACCCCCCACCCCCACCTGCCTGGGTTCAGAAGCTGGGTCTGGCAGACTTGGCCTCAGGGCCTGCACTCACCTGCCCTGTCTCTTGGCCGGCAGGGGCGGAGAAGAACCTGCTCTATGAGGATGTGCACCGGGATGGGGCGCCCCGGGAGGCCGAGGACCTAGGCTGGAGCTCCAGCGAGTTTGAGAGCTACAGCGAGGACTCGGGGGACGAGGCCAAGCCGGAGGCGGAGCCCACCAAGCACCGAGTGTCCTTCCAGCCCAAGGTGAGGGGGCCGGGGACGTCTCTCATCCCAGCCAGGGCACCTGCAAGTAGGGTGGTGAGGGCCAGGCCTGAGACTCATATCTAAACGTCAGTGACTCCCACGAATGTGTGGTGAGAGAGAGGGAAGTGGCCCAAGTAGTCCGGAGACAGGAAATGACCCACCCGTGTCGCTGATTGGCCGTGGAGAGCCCTCAACCTGGGATGGGAGTGGTTAGTGCCTGCCTGCGGCCGACCCGGCAGCTGATGACGATGCTCACGGGCTCAGATCTGGCTTTGGAATCCTCCTCAGCACAGTGCGTGGGCAGCCCGACCAACCATTAGAGTTGACACTAAGGGATCAAATCAACTTGATATCCTTGCCGTACAGGATGCTTCTTAGACCAGTCCTAGACCCACACAGCCCTCTGCCCTGGAGAGCTGAGCAAGCAGGCTAAGACAGAGCTGCCCGGTAGACTTCTTTCCAAAGCCTTTCCAAGTGCCATCCATGCAGTGGTTGCTTCTGGTGTTTCTGCCTGGAACAGGGCTCATTCTGCTGATTTTGTGGAGGGAGCCACGGAAGCCAAGAGGAGGATGGATTGTCTGGTTCCCCCTTTTCTGTGACAGCCTTCCTCGTCCCATTTGTTCTGGAGAAGCCCAGAAGGCAGAGTGTATCCATGCCGAGATTTGGGACCAGAGGTGACTGGGTCCCTCTCAGGTTCCTCTTAAAAGACACAGGCAGGCAAACGGGCTCAACCTGTCAGCAAGTCCTGCCTGAAGGTGAGGCAGGGAGCAGGCAGGGGCCCCAGGCCCAGGCTGGGATTACAAGGGCCTGTTGCCCCTTTCCGAGTCTGGGGATTCCCTCTGGGAGTGGGGTGCAGGCAAGAGCAGCACCCACAGCTTAGAGTCTTCAGACAGACTTTCCCCAGATAAAGGTGGGCTCCCCACGAACTCGGGAAGCCCAGGGGCTGAGCAGGCCTCCTTGGGGTGGGCCCCCATGGATGGGGCCACGGAAAACAACCTGGATGTCTAGCAAAAAAAACTAAGCATCTGTGACACCTATGGTGTGTCCAGGCTGTATCTTAGGGTGTGGGCTGGGGTACCTGGGAACAGGAAGACCCAATTCTGGCTCAGGGAACCTTTACAGTCCAGGAAGATACCGAAGATGGAACAATTTGTCAAAACTGTGGGAAAAGATGCCTTTCTGTAAACCTGAGCCCGTATGCCGATGGCCGCCTGCCTGACCCAGGTGGGATTTGATGGGTCTAATCACAGAAGGCTTCTGAGAAAGGTGGGCTGGGAGTTGGGGTGCAGGACCCAGAGAAGATGGGAAAGGTGTCCCCAGTTGGAGGAAGGGCCCAGGTGAAAGTCTGGGAACAGACTCATTCCTGCTTCTGTCCTTGGAAGGGGAGACGCGGTCTAGTTTGAGGAGAGAGAGGACTCTGGTTATGAAGCCCCCACGCCCTCTGTACCCTGTAGCCTCTTGATAGGAGGGTAGGACTTGTGCATCTCAGCCGGACTCTGGAGAGTGCGAGCAGGTGGGACTCCAGGCCTGGGTCCCCCTTGTTCTCAGTCTCTGGCTGTCCCTCCTGATCCCCCATGACCACTTTCCCGGCCCCTGCCTTCTTGCTGGGGACCGGGAGGGAACTGTTGTTACCTCTCTGGGCAGGATGCAGGGGATGCTGAATTGGGCTCTCCAGTGGTGGTCCTTAGACTTGCATGGGCGTTAGGATCACGTGGGTAGTTGGTGGAAATCACAGATGCCAGGGCCTCACTCCCAGGTTCAGGGCTTGGGTGGGGCCTGGCAATCCGCTTTTTAACAGCGCTCTGTCCCCAGGACACTCTGAGAAATGCTAGGCTGGCCTTCACCTTGGCCCAGCCCCCGGGGTGGGGTCTCTGGGGGCTGCCTGTGGACTTAACATCCCTCACATCCTCAAGCTGGGGGCTTGGGACTCTCAGCAGATAAATGATGTGGCAGAGTCCTTGGAATTTCTAACCATGAGGGCTTTTTCTCCAGCCATGGGCCAAAGCCCACCTGCTCCCCGAGTAGCAGGCTCCCAGGGAGAAGGGGATGTAGAAGGGCCTTTCCTCTGGCACCACCTCGGCCCAGAAAACCCCAGCCCTGCCTGTGGGGCCCTGCCCTCCTGAGCTGCTTAGGGTGCATCTGCTCCCACACCTGGTGCTGCAGCAGCTGCGTGTTGCCGGGGCCTCCACTGCTGGGCTGTGTTGTCTGCCGGGGCGCTGGGCAGCAGAGATCTGGGGAAGTGCTGTGTCCCGTGCTGAGCGTCTGACCGCGGGCCTGGCACCCTGTGCAGCTGCCGGAGAACCAGTGGGGCCCCTCCTGCAGGTGTCTGGCTAGGCCACCCCTCAGCGGGCAAATTTTTGCCAAAGAGAGGGACTGAGGGGTCTGTAGAGGGACAGATGTAAGCAGGAGCCTGGTCCTGGTTAACAAGGGCCTGCTGGCTGCTGCCCACAGTCAGTGGGAGGTTTTTTCCCAGCTGTGGGATGGGCTACATCGAGCGTTTCCATCCGATTGTGATCTCTTCGTAATTGTTCGCACTGATCTGGTCAATTCCATGGTTGACCTGTGATCCCAGTTCTTCTGACCCTGAGAGAGGCAGAGCCCAGGGCCTTTATGAGTTTGTCATGTCAGTCTTATTACAGATGAAACAGAATTCCAGCTTTTTTGAGAGTCTGAGCAACAGCTCCCTGACCTGCTGCTGCTTTGCATAACAACAGTGAACATTTGCCCAGTGTGCTACGGCTTACAGAGCAGTTTCATTTATTTTCCCCCAATACCCTGGGGTGCTTGGTATCATTTGCTCTAAGAGTCTCCTTTTGTTGATCAGAGAGCCTCAGTGACACAAGCTCAGAGAGGTTAAATGATGTGGTGAGGGCCACACAGCCCGTAAGTGGTAGAGCCGCAACTCAGCATCTCATATAATTTGAAAGAAAATACCTTGTCCATCCATCTGTCCATCCATCCGTCCGTCCATCCATCCATCCAACCAACTGTCCATTCACTCAACAAATACTGAGCACTCATCACTTAAAAGATAGTGTAGTGATAGCTTTTGTTGTTTGGAACACTCAGCGAAGCTCTGGGCCTTACCTGCTCTGACCATTGAATCTTCTCAGTGATACTGTGAAGCTGTAATTATGGCCCCTTTAGCAGTGAGGAAGCTGTAACTCAGGCAAAGAGACTTTTGCAGCTGGTAAGCAGGGAGCAGTGATTTGAACGCAGGCCCACCTGCCTCCAGAGCTCGCGCTTTGCCCTCTGCTCATCTGCTTTCCTGCAAGTAGTCTCCGTCCTGGTCTTCTGTGTATTTTACCAAATAGCACGATCACACATACAGTTGATGCGTTTGAATGTCTGTCTGTTCTGCCAACTGTCCCGTCCGACTGTCCATTTGTCTTCCCAGATAGTATGTCAGCCAATCAGCCACCTACCCGTCCCTCCAGATGCCCGCCCAGCCCTCCCTCCTTCCATCTGTTCCTTCCTCTCTTCATCCATCCTTCCTCCAGTGGTGTGCTCCAGCTGACTCGTCCTCGCTCACAAGGACCCAAAAACCAGCGGTGCACATCTCTTTCCAACTTCACACTCAGTGATTGGTAGTCTGAAACTGGCTGGTGTTGGGGGCGTATTCACACCATGGAAATACTCCATAGCAGGACCCTTTTCCCTGGAGAACCGCTTGTTCAATATGTACTGACATAGCCCTGCTTCAGTCCAGCCACTAATCCACCCGTGATTTTGTTCATTCATCTCACTGTCTGTTCATCCCTCTGCCCATTTGCCCAGCTATACAGTCATCCAAGTAAATTTATCCATTTGCTCACCCATCCACTCCTCCATCCATGAACCTGTCCGTCTACCCATCTGTCTGTCTGTAGTCCGTCCATCTGTCCGACCACCCGTCTCTCCACTCTCCCGTGTGTGCATTTGCCCACTTGTGCATTTATTCCCTTGCCCACTCATTCCACCCATCCATCCACCTGCCATCCGTTCAGCTCACAAACTTGCCAAGAACCTCCTATGTCACGAGCCCCATGCTGAGCCCTCGGGATGGGGAGATGATTGAGACACAGTTCTTGGCCTCCAAGCACTGTCCCCCTTCCCTGGGAGGGGGCCTGGGCTGTCCCCGCCCCCACCGCCTCCCCCACAGCTACAGCGACCCGGCCCCCAGCTGCCTGGCATGTTGAGGTTGGACGCTCCTGATTCCAGGCAGCAGCCCAGCCACCCCCAGGTCCCAAGGCTCCCCGGTCCCATCTGCCACCTCACCTGAGTCTCCTTTTTCCTCTGTTGCCCGTGTTTTGTCTCCTGCCTGCCCCGCCTGCTCCTCTCACCTGCTCTCCTTCTGCCTGGCTGCTTGGGGGCTCCAGCTTTCTCCAGACCTGACTAGGCTAAAGGAGAGATACGCCAGGACTAAGAGAGACATCTTGGCGTTAAGAGTTGGGGGGAGAGACATGCAGGAGCTGAAGCACAAGTACGATTGTAAGGTATTGTCTGTCTGTGCCTCCAAGTCTGGGGGCTCCGGGGGGCCTTTCCTGCTGCTTCTGGGGCCGCAGAGGGTGGGGCTGAGTCCCAGGGCTGCCCCGAGACCTGGAACCTGGCCATGTCTTGTATCTGCTGCACAGACCGATGCTGCAAGCCGGCTCGCTCCTGTCCGCATCCTCACCTCTCTTCCCTGCCCCCCTTAGTGACACCTTAACCATCCATGAGAATTCCTGGGTGGGCTTTCAAACTTCAGGGCCCTCAGAATCACCTGCTGCTTTGAAAAATGCAGATTCCCAAGCTCTACCCCCAGAGAGGCTGATTCTGCTGGTCTGGGCCAAGGCCCAGGAATCTGTAAATTTGCTAACTCTGGAGGGTGGGTTTGGGTTACCCTTGGAAAAAATGTGGGTGTTCGTAACATTGGACCTTCCTCCCACTCTGAGCTGTTCAGAGAGACTGGGGTAAGGTGCCAGTAGGAGAAACCGCCGTGCCTTTTCCTCAGTGGGACTCAGATTTGTGCATCGCAATGACAGACAGCACGAGCTTCTGTTAACCGGCACCAGCATGTGGGCTTTGGAGGCCTGCAGGCCTGGATTTGAATCCCAGTCCCACCACTTCCTCGCTGTGTGATCCTGGGCAGGCATCTTGACCTCTCTGAGCTTCGGTTTCCTTGCCTGTGAAATGGGGGCATGAACAGTACCAGCCCCAATCCCGGGGTGGCTGTGAGCTCAGCCCTGTAAGGTGCTCAGTGCTGCGCTCAGCACAGTCTAAGAGCTCAGTGGACAGTGGGCCTGCCTGTTTTCTCCCCAGGGCCCCCACAGGCAGCTGTCTGCGGCTGTCATTTAGCCTTAGGGAGGCCGGCAAGTGAAGTAACTGGCTGATGGTCACACCAGGGGTCAGCGGCAGAGCTGGGGCTCAAGCCGAGCCTGTGCACCCTCCGTCCTGTGGCCACGCCCATTTCATCAACACCGGAGGCCTCTCTGGAGGAGGCGGAGGCCCTTATACACACACAACCTCTGAGAGGCCTGTGACTGGGGGTCAGGGAAGCTGAGGCCCAGAGAGGAGCAGGGAACATGTGGAGGGCTTGCCCTGCCTCTGGCCTGGGAGTTGGCCCCCGCTCTGTGCCATGGAGATGGTGGAGATGGCAGGTTGACTCAGGGACCGCTTCCAGGGTGTTCATCTGTTGCTCTTTTCACCCAGGAAAATGCCAGGACAAGAACTTCTGATGGTTCCCCCAAAGGCCACTTTAGGGGTTCCTAGGACAGCACTCCCAACAGCCTTCTACCAGGACAGGAACTGGGCTTCAGGACAGAGGTGTCCAGTCTCGGGGCTGTGGCCCTCCCAGAGCATCTCTGGCAGTTTCTCTGGTCCCTGTCATTCGATTCACAGGTGGTTATGACATCCCACCCTCCCCGCTCGGAAAGTCCAAGTCCAAGAATCACGGCTCTAGAATTGTACCGTTTAGACGCAGGGAGGGGCCGGAGACTTCCCTTTCCCGCCCCCACTGGCTGTCGGCTGTTTCCAGAAAGTCAGCTTTGTTCCTGAAAAGCTACCACCCTGTCCCCCAGCGTCAGCGCCCGCTGGGTGTTCAGCCAACCTCCCTTGCCCAGACCTTGAGAAGTGCTGGAGCCCTTACACGGGGGACCCGGGGTGTTTGGAGGAAGGTGATAGGGAGCGCAGAGACCAGGGACCCCTAGAGGCACGCTCCCCACCTTCAGCAGAGAGCTTCCAGAGGAGAGGGTTTTCCTACAGCTGTGCTGTCCATTATGATAGCCATGTGGCTCTTCAAATTTAAATTAGTTAAAATTAAGTATAGCCAGAACTTTGGGTCCTCGGTCGCCCCAGCCGGCTTTTGAGTGCTTAGTGGTTACGCGTGGCTGGCGGCACGTACTGGACAGCGCAGATAGGGAGTGTTTCCATCCTCCTGGAAACTTCTAGCGCTGGCTGTGTGTCAGGGAGGCTGCCAGGGCCGGGCTGGGGACTGAAGGGACAAAGCAGAGAGTTAGGGGACAGCAGCTCTGTTTGCAGCCCCAGGGTGCCCGCTGCCCCTCCCTGGACCAGGCTCCACCTGTGCCCTGAGTTCTCCTTCGCCTGCTGTGCTGGGGCCCCAGGTCCTCCCCGCCCAGGGGAAGCTGCCCCCTGCTCTGTGGCAGCTTCTGCCTCCCCACGCCTTCCTGGGCAGTGGCTCAGTGAGAAATCTAGCTATTTGAGGGGCAAGGGTTCTGCAGATTGGATGGGGTGCTCACCTCCTCTTAACCCTTGACATTAAGCTTGGGCATTTGTCCAGCGCATTTTATTGTCCAGCATTCCAGCATGCTTTCCCAGCCCCTGTCTGTTCTGACCTCGCAGACCTGGCGGGGTTCAGTGAGGAAACCACGGCTCAGGGAGGTTGTCTTGCCCAGAGTCATGCTGCTGGGGAGTGGTGGTGGTGGGGCTGGGATTTGAACCCAGGCCTTGGACTCTAGGCCTCGAGCCCTTTCCCTGGTGTTGCAGCGTGTCTGTAATTTGACACCCACTCAGCAGTTTATCCCAAAGGGAAAAAATCAGGAACTCCCCTTGCTGGGAAAGAGGGTCCCCCAGGGAGATCCCCCCAGGGTTTGAAGCCCTTCTCATCCCTTCCCAGGAGGTCTCGGGGTGGTGCTGCCCTGCTGTCTTTCTTGGCCTCTGCTGCCACCTCCCTTGGAGGGAGTGGGCCCCGGGATCCCCATGTCTGCAGCTCTGGCCGGGAGGCCTACATGGGGCTGGTGGCCTTTGATGGCAGGTGTCCCAGGGCCTCCCTCCGCTTCTCTGATGAACTCCTCTGCCTTTGCTCAGATGACCCAGCTCATGAAGGCTGCCAAGAGCGGGACCAAGGACGGGCTGGAGAAGACGAGGATTGCTGTCATGCGCAAAGTGTCCTTTCTGCACAGGAAGGATGTCCTCGGTGAGTCGCTGAGGGCTGGGCTGGGGGCAGGGTCAGTGCTCGTGTCTCTTCTGGGACACGTGGGCCTCTCCGTTCCGTGGTCTTTGTCATGGCCGACTTAGTCTTCTGCCTTCCACACTGTCTGGCTCACCTGGCTTCATCTTTGAATGTGCTGGTTCATTCCTTCGTTTATCCATTCACCCATCTCCACCAGCCAACATTTATTGAATACCTACTAAGTGCTGTGCCCCATGCTGGGTGCAGGGACACCAAGATGAAGTAGGCAGCATTTCCTCCAGGAGCGCCTGGTATGGTGGGGGGAGCAGGCATGGAAAGAGGAAATGACAATGCAGATGGACAAGCCGCACAGTGGGGTGCCGTGGCAGGAGCCTGGAGGAAGTGAGTCTAGGGTGTGGGAATGAAAGGTCAGGGAGGTGCTGAGAGCAGAAGGAGGAGACCCAGGTTCCTCAGGCAGCAGGAACGTGGCAGGGAATGGATGCTCTGGGAGGAGGAGCCAGCATGTGCAATGGCCCGGAGGTGGGAAGGTATGAGATGTTCAAGAAATGATTTTCCTGATAGTCAACATTTATAGAGGATCTGTTGTGTGCCAGCTACTCTCCTAAGAGCTTTACAGTTTCTCATTTAATCCTTATAAACATCAAACAGGTGCAGAGGACTGTCTTGTTCCCATTTGGAGATGAGGGAACAGGCACAGAGTGGTTCAGTGACTTGCCTGGGAACACACAGGCAGGAGGGGCTGGAAGAGATTTCTTCCAGGTGGAGTGAGGGCAGGAGTGAGAGATGAGGGCCAAGTTAGCACAGGCATTCAAGCCATGGGGATCTTTGAGACCCTGCACCCTCTTGAAAAGCTATGTATTTTACCCTCTCTGTGCCTCAGTTTCCTCATCTATGCAGTGGGGCTAATCTAACATCTGTCCCATGGGGCCTTGGTGAAAATGACTGCGGTAGTGCATGGAAAGAGCCCTGCACAGCTCCTGACCCCTGTGTGGCACGCGTTAGTCTTGGTGGCCGCCACTGAGAGGAGGTGTTTGGTGCTGGGACGGCATCTCGCCGACCTAGTTCTACTCCTGGTCCCATGACCTCCTGGCTGTATAACCTCGCCTGGTTCTTCCCCTCTTGGAGTAGCAGGTTCCTCTGTGAAATGGGTTTAAACCCATCACAGTGTGTGCTTGATTCAGTGCTAAACCTTTAGGGGAACCCTGGCCCCCGATGGAGGGGGGAATGGGCCGAGGAGCCATTCCAAACTTGGAGTGGCCTGGAGAAAGGACAGCGTGGTCAGGCTGGCTGGGAACTGTTCCTGGTCACTCTCCCCACCCCCAGGCTGGCCAGGCGGCCAGCAGGCTCTCCGCAGGCCCTCCCCACCCTGCCTGCTAGTCCAGAGCCTTTCCTAAAGTGACCCTCCCACCAGAGGCGTTTATTAATAGCTGTGGCAGGGCTCGAATCACCAGCCAAGAATGTTACCCAGTGGCTCATGGGGGAAGAGGAAGCCGCGGGGCCGGCGGCTGGGGTGGGTGCGGAGTGATGCCCGGGGTACCATGTGGGCCAGGCAGGAGGGCCTCCACCCCCCCCACCCCCACGCTGTCATCCGCTGCCCCTCCTCCTCCTCCTCTTCTGTCTCCTGCTCAGGTAAGGACCCGTCTGCGTGTCCCTACTCCCTCGGCCCCCTGGAGTCGCTGCCACTTCTTCTTTCTTGCCAGCTTCCCCACAGCACCCGCTTCCTGCTGCCCATGGCTGTGGTGGCTGCCCCCGGGTTTCAGAGCCGTGAGCAGCAGAGTCCCGTCTCCTTGTGCCCATGCCTCGCTCGTGGGGCTGGATCCCTGCCCGGCCGGGTCGCTGCACTCTGCGGGGCCTCCCCTCTTTCTCTCCGCCTGAGCCTCTCTGTCTGTCTCGATCTGTCCTCAGATCTGCCTCTGTCATGTCCACGTTCTCCTATTGGGCACCAGCTGAACTTTTTCCCTGTTGGGACTCTTTGCATTTTTTTTTTTTGAAAGATGAAAACACAGCCTGTTCTTCTCAGGGCTTACTTTCTTCCCCCTTTTCGGCATCCAGAAGAAAACTATTTTTAGTGCCTAGTGATGGGGACATGGGCGGCCTGGCCTTTGCCAGGCCAGAAATGGGCGGATCTGAGCAGAGACAGAGACCTCCAGCAGAGAGGATTCTGAGAGCCGAGCCCTTGCCACACACTGCTTAGAGCTGCGTCCTCCCCTCCCTTTCGTTTCTGGGTGGACCCTTCCAGCACAGCGGGGCAGTGAAGGCTGCGAGTGGACTCTAACCCTCTGTGGCCCCAGGAGCTGCTCATCCCAGGACCTTGGTCTAGGGGGGTTCCCAGCTCCTGGGGTCTCAGCAGCGTGTGTCATCCCTGTCTTGCGTGTGTCACCGGCCCATCATCTGACTTTCCAGGTGATTCGGAGGAGGAAGACATGGGGCTCCTGGAGGTCAGCGTTACAGACATCAAGCCCCCAGCCCCGGAGCTGGGCCCCATGCCAGACGGCCTGAGCCCTCAGCAGGTCTGTGGGAGGAGCAGGGTGTCTCCAAGGGGAGGGATGTTGGGGCTCCCAGCCTACCTACCGCCTGGGGCCCTGCAGGTCTGGGTCTTGCAGGGGAGGTGAGGATGATCCGGGGTTCTTGGCAGAGCCCCAGCTGGGCGGGGGGCCTTCTGAGTTCTGTTTTCAACCAACGGCACAGACTTTGCAGATTGGGCCCCGCAGGTTCCATGCTGTTGTCCTGGGGGGTGGGGGTGGCCCCCTGCATTTGGAGCTCTTGCTTCCCAGCCTCTTGGCAGCCAGAGCAACTCCTATGTAACTGTTTCAAACAAAACGATTTGAAGAAAGGGACGGCAATATAAAAGGTTTGTGAAGCTTTGAACTAATCCAACTCAGGGAGTCTCTGGAGGTGCCCGGCCCCACCCTCCATCCACCTGTCATCAGTTCAGGCCTCAGAGTTGTCGTGGGCTTCCCAGGAGCCGGGGCTTCCTTCTCCTGGAGTGTCACAACGAGATCTAGGCAGCTGCGCTCTGGGACCTTGGCACAGTCATGGTTAAGTCCCTCCCCACTGGGGTTTTCCCAGCCATGAGACAGGGTGAGAGACCCCCGCCCCTCTCTGGTCAGGAGGACTCTGAGCAAGACGTCTCCCGGGCAGGGATTGGCCGGCTTGGAGTTGGCAGGAAATCCTGATGTTGGACCCCTTTTGAAAGTCGGAGATACGGCTGCACCGCTCGTCCTGGGAGTCCATCCGCCTCCTTCCTTCCTTCTTTCGCCTGCCTGGCCCCTGGCGGCACTGAGATGGTGACCCCCCCGCCCCCTCCCCTGCAGTGAGTCACCGTCAGAGCTGTTGGAGCTTGGAGCCCAGCGGTGCCCCAGGCTGCCAGTTCGTCATCCAGGGTTCCCCTTCCTGGCCTCGGCAGGGTCTGTCTCCTCGGGAGCCTTTTGGCATTTCTTGGATCAGCAATGTTCGTTACTCTAGGCCAGGGGCTCTCAACCGAGGCAGTTTTGCCCCCCAAGGGACATTTGGCAATGTCTGGTGATGCTTTGGTTGTCCCAGCTTAGGGTGCTGCTGGAATTTAGTGGGTAGGGGCCAGGGATGCTGATAAATGTCCTGTAGTGCACAGCACGGCCCCAAATGTCAACCTGCTGAGCTTGAGAGCTCTCCTCTGGGAACACCCGGGAGCCTGGGGATCATTGACAATGCATCCGACTGTGGGACAGCTTGAAGGACGGTGGCCTGGCTCGTCACACAGCTGTGGGGCAGTGGTCATGCAGCACGGTGGGAAGAGATGCCAAGGCTGTAGCAGAGGCAGGAGGGAGGTGGCAGAGGGGAGCAAGGGAGATGGTGGTCGTGGAGCCTGGATCGAGGCTCTCAGGATGGGTTGGGGAAACAGTGGGGGTCAGTCACCCTCCAGCTCTGGGCCAAGGTGGACAGGCTCCCCCCTTGGCCACCTCTCACACGTGATGCCTTTCATGAGCTCTTTCCCAGCTTTGCTGCACAAGAGAATCACTTGGGAAGCTTAAAAACCCCCACTACCCAGGTGGAACCCCGCAGCATTCACTCAGAATGTCTCGGGTGGGAGCCGCGTGATTCCAGTGTGCAACAAAGGGCCCCCCCAGCCATGCTGCTGGATCCGGGTGAAGGCTTCTTGATAGGGTGCTAGTTGGGCTGCACCTGAAGGAGAGGTGGGGATGGCGGGACGGGAAGGGGAAGGGGCCTACTTGGTGGGGTGGGAGGGCTCCCTAAGGGCTATTCTATCAAAGAAAGAATTTCCTACTTGAGTTGTCCAAGGATGGAGGAGGCTAACTGTTCCTGTGGAGAAGAGTGGTGACTCCCCATTCCTGGGTGTATGTGGGACCTGAGTCCCAGCATCCGCTGCCCCCGTCCTGCAGTCTAGGGAGCACGGGTGTTTGTCTGGGGTGGGCAGGGGTTCTGGAAGGAAATGGTGGCCCGCCAGCCTCCAGTGGTCTCAGGAGCAGCTCTGGGAGGGGCACTCCCCTCTGTCCCACGGCCATCAGCTCCGCTGGCATCGTGGCTGCTCTTCCTGTACCCGGGGCTCCTCACGCAGCAGCTGCTCGCTCTTGCTGCCGTTGGCACAGGCGCTGACTGTGCTTTCTGTCTGAGCAGGTGGTCCGGAGACACATCCTGGGCTCCATTGTGCAGAGTGAAGGCAGCTACGTGGAGTCTCTGAAGCGGGTACTCCAGGTACGACTCTGAGGGCTCTGGGGAGAGGGCAGAGGAGACCCCAGAGGGGCATTTTTACAAGGAGTGTTTGGCACTGTGGGCAGTTTTAAGGGGAAGGGACCAAAGGCCCAGGCTTTTATGGGGACAGCAGGTCATGGGGGACACCATGAATTCCTGATGCCTGGTGTTCATGGGAAGCCTGCATTTTCTGAAATGATGTCAAGATTCAATGAAATGGGCTCCATCCTATAGACTTGAGGGCATGTAGTCCCTCTTGTGCCCTCCTCGCCACTCTAGGAGCCACTGGGGCAGGGGCTGTGGCTCCCCGTTATCTTGGAGCTCCCTGAGGTGGGGATTAGGCTGCACCCTCTCTCTCGCCATCAGGTTGCCCAGGGTTTGCTAAGGAGATGCTTGTGTGACTAAGGTGTGCCACCCTGGTCTGTAGTTTGCGTTCCTCAGTCTTCTGGGATGTTGTGGCTTTCAGAGTGAGGACAACAGAAGGGAATTGGGGTGGGAGGAAGCGTCCCCTCCCGAGTTTGGATCCACAGTAGGGGAGCCCAGGCCTCAGGCAGGTGGAGATGAAAATATCTCATGTTTCTGACAAAGCTGGTGGGAGTGTGTGGCTCTGGGTCTGGGGGACCGGGGACCTTGCTGTGGCATCACTGTCACTGCTCCATTAGATGGACTGGCTCAGTCGTGGGCAGAGCCAATCCGGGCTGGGCTAGCCCTTGGGTCTCCCCCAAAACCCAGCTTAACACATAAGTCACAGAGGTAGGTTGTGGATGGGCCAAAGGGCTGGGAGTGCTATGTTCATGGAGGACAGGTGAGGAGTGAGGGGTGAGTGCTCCCCCTGACAGGAACGTCTGCTGAGTTCTTCTTGGCCTCGTGCAGGTTGCCATGAGGGCAGTGGGTGGGGGCCGGTGGCCTAGCCTGGGGGTGCTCACTCCTGCCCGCCCTGGCAGGATTACCGCAACCCTCTGATGGAGATGGAGCCAAAGGCGCTGAGCGCCCGCAAGTGCCAGGCCGTGTTCTTCCGCGTGAAGGAGATCCTGCACTGCCACTCCATGTTCCAGATCGCCCTGTCCTCCCGCGTGGCCGAGTGGGACTCCACCGAGAAGATCGGGGACCTCTTCGTGGCTTCAGTAGGTGTCCCCAAATTCTCTTTCCTCAGCCCACTAAGGTGAAAACCGTGGCCCAGCCTCCTGCCTCCACCTGGTCGCCTTTCCAGGCTAGTCGGGTCAGATGGTGGCAGGGCCTGAGTCAGCGTGACCTAGGCTGGGGGTGGGCGTGACACCTTCCAGTGTGTCCATGGAGATGTCTGCCAGCGTGGTGCCGGTTGAGCCCACTTGCTGCCCCGGCTCCTCCCACGTGACAGCTCCTCCAGGAAACTGGCCACTGTGGGCAGCCACTGGCCAAGTGCTTGCAGTGACTGCTGAGTTGCTCACACAGAGCACGGCCTTGGCCCCAGAGGATGCTGCAGGGTGTGGGGCCCAGCCCACTGGGTCATGCTCTTGGAGATCTGGCCTGGTCCCAGCCCAGCTCTGCAAATTGGGGCAGCTCCCGGGCTCTCTCGGGGCTCAGGTCCCCATCTATGGAAGGAGGGGGTGTGCTGGACTCATGGGTTTTCAAACTGCAGTCTGTGGGCCCCAGAGAGATTCTTGGGGTAAGAAATGGTCAAGTCAGGGGAACCTGCTTTCATCTCTTGTAGGAAACTGGGCTCTGCTCAAAGGCAGAAAGTATTGTTTTGAAAACCCTAGCGCTCAATAGATTCAACACCTTGGTTGGTGTGTCCACAGGGCTCGGGGTCAGGAGCGCTGTCCTTGAGGGTGGAGGGCCAGCGGGTGGTGAGGACGTGCCTGTAGCAAAGGGGTGTCATGGCCCCCTTCACCTGTGGTCAGGGCTGCTGTGCTGGGGGACGAGGAGTGGCCCTGCCTCTTCCTCCCTGTGACCTTGGTGTCTCTTCATCTCTCTGAGCCCTGTCCCCTCCCCTCACTGGGTGACCAGTTTCCTGACCCCAAAGCTAGCTGAGACCCTCCGGGTGGAGGAGGATGGTCGTGGCCGGCAGTGAGGGTGGGGGTGCTGGCTGCCCTTCCCCTCGCAGGCACGTGACCCTCCCGGGGCCGGGCCCACCCCTGTTTCAGTTCTCCAAGTCCATGGTGCTAGACGTGTACAGTGACTATGTGAACAACTTCACCAACGCCATGTCCATCATCAAGAAGGCCTGTCTCACCAAGCCCGCCTTCCTCGAGTTCCTCAAGGTGAGCCCGAGGCGGGTCCGGGGCCCCGCTCCATGAAGCCCTGGCCATGGTAGGGGAGGAAGGTTTCCCCCGAGGCAGGGGATGCTGTAGTGTCGTTTCTTAGGCTGGACACTTCTGTTCTTTCCTTGGGGCATCCCAGTCCCACGGGAAGAAAATGCACCCCTCACCCCCTGCAAGGGGAGGGTGATAAAGAGAAAGTGTTTGTAAGCCGCTTGGGGTCCTGGAGCTCTGACAGGTGGGCGGGGAGGCCTGTGACATCTTGCGAGGGTGAGATGATGGGTGGGTCCGTGGTGGTCTGGTGGGCTGGGCTGGAGTGGGTCTCAGGTGTGGCTCAGGTGGTGGCCCGGCTGATTCCTTTTCCTCATTTGTAAAAGGGTGAGGAGAATTCCTTAAAGGGGTGCCTTGGAGGTCACCTGAGAGAAGAGTGGTTAAAGGACCAAAGGCCTCGTGTAGCTCTGGGGCCAGGTATCCCTCCTCCCTCCCATTTCCTTGGTGCTTAGCCGGGTGGGTCAGACTAAGACCCCGCTGCAGGGAGCGTGCCACCGAGCGGAGGTTTCAGGGGGCTAGGAGCTGGGGCCTCAGCCGGGGAACCCACAGCTCCCATCCCAGAAGGTCGGGGTGGGGTTTCTCAACAGGGTGCCATCTGACAGGGGTCCAGGGGGATGGCAGGTGGCAACAGGTGGAGACAGAGGAGAGGATATTCCAGGTGCAAGGGTGGTGGGGCAAAGCTCAGAGGCAGGAGGATGGGTGTGGGAAGTCTGGTTGGATGCTGGGAGCACTGGGTGCCTGTGGGGAGTCCCAGGAGAGAGGCCCAGAGCAGCCAAGTTCAGTCTGGGCAGATCTGGGCCTCCAGGCTCAGGGGCTAGGTTGTCGTGTTGCAGGCAGCGTGAGCCACTGAAGTTTTGGGGGGAGCCAGATGGAAGTAGCAGCCGGTGGAGAAGTGGCAGCAGCCTGTGCTGTAGGGACTGAGGGCGGGGTCCAGGTGACAGGTGTGTGGGTGGAGTGGTGGAAACAGAAGCAAGAGACAGGACAGTGAGACCCCCTGTGCCCACCCCGCATCCTGGCCCTGGCCCATCTGCTTTAGTTTAAGTGAAAGGAGTGGTTGTCTTGGCTACTTTGAGAGGGCTGATCTCTCGAGTAAATTGCTGAATGTTCTAGTCGTGTTCTTAGTCCAGAGACCTTAACATGATGCTCTGGACCAAGGGCTGTGCAGGGGACCCCTGATGTGGCAGGGACCCTTGGCCGTGGAACCAGGGACCTCCCTGGGCTCTTCTCTCGGGCCTGAGGCTGAGCAAGGTCCTGGGCGCGGGCAGAGGAGTCCAGGACGGACCGCATCTGTGCCCCAGGCTCTGGGCCCTCACTGCAGAGGGTCAGTGAGTGACTCCACCTGGTCCCCAACAGCGGCGGCAGGTGTGCAGCCCCGACCGCGTCACACTGTACGGACTGATGGTGAAGCCCATCCAGAGGTTCCCGCAGTTCATCCTCCTGCTGCAGGTACCCCCCTGGGATTCTGGCGGCCACCCACCCTCGGGGTCTGGCGGGGGCTGATGTGAACCTCGTGGGGAGGGGGCAAGAGGCTGGGCTTCTCATCCGTCACCCATGAGCCACAGGTCGGCTGTGCACTGTGGGCAGGTCCCTTTCCCCCGACCCCCTCTTTCGCTCCCGGACCCGCCCGTGGGAACGCTGAGTGACCGGAGGCGGCATCAGCCCAGGCTCCCAGCGCCTGTGGGGCATCTGGCAGGAAGGAGGTGCCCGGTGAGCGTGCTGACCTGGGCAGTAAGGACTGCTGAGGGGGTGTCAGCCCCACACAGGGCCTGAGAGCTTGGGACAGCTACCCTGATTGCTGGGGGCCCTCAGTCAGGGGGTGAGCCCGCACTGGGGAGGGTAGCAGCCAGGCTGAGGGCCCCAGCAGCGTTCCTTCTGTCAGAGCCGCCCACTGCAGGAGTGGATCTCATCCCAGTGGACTGCTGATCAGGGATGGGTCCACACAGTTGTTTGATTTCTTCACTCACTAGCTGTTTCTTGAGGCCTTGTCTACATCAGGAACCTTCTGTCCTGGCTGCAAGCTGGGCCCTTTCAGGCCTGGTCTCCGTAGAGGGTGTGGAGGCCGAGGCTGTGGCCCCAGTCGGGGAAGGGTCTGCTGGGCTGGGGGTCTCAGCCTTGGCTCCCTCTGGGCCCTGGCAGGACATGCTGAAGAACACCCCCAGGGGCCACCCGGACAGGCTCTCGCTGCAGCTGGCCCTCACGGAGCTGGAGACGCTCGCCGAGAAGCTCAACGAGCAGAAGCGGCTGGCCGACCAGGTGGCCGAGATCCAGCAGCTGACCAAGAGCGTCAGCGACCGCAGCAGCCTCAGCAAGGTGCGTGCCTCCCACCTGTGCGCCGTACCAGCCCTGTGGCCTGTCGGCCGCCTGCCCTTCGGCACCCACCAGGTGGCAGTGTTCTCTGCAGGAGGTGATTCCTCGCTTCTTCCTGAGCCCGCACCCTCACCTTGAGGATTAGTCTTGACTAGACCCCTACATTTGTTAGTAGTCATGTGATTTTAGAATAAAAGCTGATTTTGTTCATCAGTGTAATCGCCAGTAAAGACGCCGGAAATGATAGCCTGGTATTGGGCTTAAATGAGCAGGCTGTGGAGTCAGAGTCTAAGTATGAATCCGGATTGCTGTGTGGCCTCAGGGGAATCACCCAACCTCTCTGAACCTCACCTGCTTCTTCTGAAATGAGAAGAGTTAGATTGGCCTGACCTTCAGGGCTTTTGGGAGGCAAAGGAGAGAGTCAACAAAGCGGCAGCGCCCTTAATACGAGGTGGCTGTTGTTATTATTGGTGTTATTTTAATTTTTTTTGGGGGGGGCAGGGGAGGTAATTAGATTCATTTATTTATTTTTAAAGGAGGTACTGGGGATTGAACCCAGGACCTTGTGTGTGCTAAGCATGTGCTCCACGACTTGAACTATATCCTCCCCAATTAGTATTATTTTTAAAGAAGAAAAACAGAAACTCCATGCCATGTTTTGGGATTGCAACCTAGGAATATTCTCGCAACAAAGGATCTTGAAAAAGGCTCAAATGAATCTGTAGAGAACCCCATTTTTGAAACACAAAGCTGGTGTAAAAAACATTAGTCACCTCCTAGGGTCACTTGTTGGTAAATTTAGTCCTCTGTTTCCCTAACGGCTTGTGACCTGAGTGGCCCGCAGCTCAGATCCAGGGGGTCCGGCACCCCAGGGCCCATCTTCCTTCATTCACCAGAGGTTAGAGGTTGGCCTAGATGGTTCAGGGTGAAGCAGCTCTGCCCCAGGGCACGTGGCGGGAACAAGGGCTGTTCTTAAGGAAGGGACATCGTGTGGGGTCACAGGGAGGTGTTTAGATCTTCTGGGCAAAAACAGGGAGCCTCCTGGCTCTGTAGGCTCCAAAAGCAGAACTGTGACTACGGCCAGTGAGATTTCAGCTACATGGGGTGGAACTTTGTAACGTTCAGGAAAGGCCACCGGGAGGACCCTTGCCCTTTCCACGTGGACCGCACTGTACAGTGCATGATGCTGTCAACGTGCATTGTCATCTTTGATCCCTGGGAAGCAGGGCTGGGACAAGATAATCCAGGGTCCCTGGCATTTCTAAGCTTCAGAGTCCTGCATCTTAAGTCTCTCCCACCTCAGGCCAAATTCAGGCTGTATTTAGGCCCACACTGAATTTTTTAGAAAATGGAATTAGTTGCCAACTCTTAATGACGGAGAGATGTCCCATAAAATTTAGACTTGTGCATCTTCTTGAAGGGTTGGGAGAGCTGGTCCCCTGGGCCACCTGAGTAGTGGCTGCCCACGCCCCTCAGTCCCCACCCACGTCTTCCCGCTAAAGTTACCTGCTGGTGCTGCAGGCATCTGGGTTTACTCTGCCGGTTCCACGAGAATAGAGCTGGAAGTGAAGATGGGGCAGGGGACAGAGCCGCCTCCCAGGGATGTCCCCATCCAGGATTGCTCAGGGTGGGCCTGAGGGGTGGGGCCATCCCCTCTCCTCGCCTCCCTGCAGGACTCCCTCAGCCAGCAGCACACAAGACCTCTGTTCTGGGATGTTTTGCCATAAAAAGACTTCAGCCCAGCCATGACCTCGGTGCTGGGGTTTGATGGTCTTCGCACTTGAGAATGTCTTTTTCTGTCCTCGCGTTTGTAACCAGGTGGGTTTCTCTCGCTCGGGCTCACACACCTGTGTGGCCGCGGTGGGAAGCGGTAACTGGGCAGGAGGAAGCCTTCCTCCTTAGCACTTACTCTGGGAAGGGCTGTCTGTTCCCTTCCGCTCTGTCCCCGCAGGGGACCCAGGTTGTGAGGAGCAGCGGTCACTGGCTGGAGGTTAGGAAGGCCTGTGTGGTGTTGGGTGAGGAATTGACAGCCCCGAGCCTCAGTTTTCCCACCTGTCAAGTGGGTGTATTGGATACGTGTGCAATGTTGTCGTGAAGTGGATGGCGGTAGCCACACACCGCTACTTCCCCGGCCAGGGCCCCCCTTTGGGCAGTCTCGGCCAGTTCTGTGACCAGTCCAGTGACTTTCCTCTTGCTGCCTGTCACCCGGAGAGAAGTGGAAATGAAACTGGGTGTGCCCAGAGCGGAACCATGTCGGCAATTTCAAAATGTGCCTGCTCAGGACCTGGCTCCAGGGGGCTATTTGTGCAATAGCTGAGCTTTCTTTTGTCTTTCTTTACTTTTTCTTTTTTTTTTGAAATCTGCTTAAGTGACGGGAGGAAGGTTGCTGGAAGCCAGGGGACTTTCCTCTCCCAAGTTGTGGGTCCTGGCACTCTTGGCCGTCTTCCGTGAGGCCTGCTGTCTTCAGGGTCCCATACGTGTTGTCACCTGCTGGCGGTCAGCTTGGTGGTGGAGGGTGTGGGATGGGGGAGCCCAGCCTTAGCAGTTATGGGGGGAATCCTGGGGGACCTTGAGTGTTTTATTGTGTTGGGAGCAGCGGGGCCTTCCCTGACTCCTCTCGTGCCCGGCCAGGAGCCAGAGGGATGCAGCCGGCTGCCCGGTGCTGGGGACAGTCCGTGTGGCCTGGCTCTGTCCTGCCCTGCCACTTAACTGGCATTGGGTCTCAGTGAGTCACTTGACCTCTGGAATCTCCGTCCCTGTGTCCAGGAATGGGCATGGCCCGGGGGCCCTTGAGCGGATTAAATGAGAAGTGGGCTATTCAGTACTGAGCACAGTGCCTGGCACACGTGGACACATGGTGCCACTCAGGCTTTCGTGCTGCCTGGAGAGACACGGTTCTTTGCAGACCAGCAGGGTGTTCTCTCCTGGAGAGGTTTTAGGACCATCCGCCCTTTTCCTTGTGAGGATGGGGAGGAAGGTGGGCGATGCTAACTGTCATTATCAGAGTCACAGTTTTGGAGAATGAATTTGGCTGAATACTCTCCCCACCTCCACCTCAAAAAAAATCCCTGTTAGTAAAGAGATGTCTTCCCAGTGGGTCTCTGGGTCTGATAGTGGCCCCGGTGCTGGCAGGGCTCTTGGTGTCCAGCCCGAGATTGGCAAATGCCTGCTTGGATGCTGGAGGCTTGAAGGTCTTCAGCCTCCTCAGAGGGTTGCCCCATGGACCAGCAAATCTGTCCTAGCCCCGGCATGAGGTCTCCCACGAGGCCAGTGGCCTAGGCTGTTCAACAGGTCAGGGAGACGGACAGGATCTACCTCCAGGCCGAGAGCCTCCTTGCGCGAGGCCACAGGGACGGCGGCAGAAGTGGGGACGGCGACCATCTGTGGAGTGTCCACTGTGTGCCTCCGCAGGGCCAGCTCCTTGGGCATCACACAGGACGGGCACTCAGAAGGGCCTCCCATTTGGTTTAACGCTCTGCCGTCACCGTCTTGAAATCCTTAATAACCTCTGAGTGAGCGCCACGTGTTCCCCTGGCTCTGGGCTCTGTGGGTTATGTCGCCAGGCCTGGTCACCTGTTTCCTCGGTGATATGAGTGGTGGAGGTCTCGCCACCTGACAGCTGAGGCAGCTGAGGTGTGGAGAGGGGATGTGACACCCTGAGGGCTCTGCAGCAGGTGTGCGGGAGCCAGGGTTGGAGCGCGGATCGGTGCGGGGTTGTGGAGGGGATGGCAGTGGCTGGCTCACCTGGGCGGGGGGGTGGCTGCAGGGCAGGGGGAGCAGTCAGTGCCTCTGTCCCCCGGAATGGGGTGTGTGTGGCGTGCCTTATCCTCTGCCTCCCGCGGCCTCGGTCCCCTCGGTGTGTGTGGGAGAAGTCTGGCTCTTTGGCACGGTGACATCTGTGTAGCAGTTGTGTGCGATGCTGTGATTGACCCGACTCTGTCCCCTCCCCCAGCTCCTAACCTCAGGCCAGCGGCAGCTGCTTCTGTGTGAAACGCTGACGGAGACCGTGTATGGTGACCGCGGGCAGCTGATCAAGTCCAAGGAGCGCAGGGTCTTCCTGCTCAACGACATGCTGGTCTGTGCCAACATCAACTTCAAGTAAGTGGGCCTGGCTGTTGCCCCTGCCTGGGGCTTTTCCTGTCGTGTCCCAGTCTGTCACAGAGAGGCCAGGGTCCTATGTGAGCCCAGCTGAGGTCCTGACTTCCTCTTTGATCCCTCTGTACCAGCTCTGTCCCCGGTCCCCTGAGCTAGGAAGCACCTGCAGAGGTCACTGAGGGCAAACAGCTGTCCATTGCCCAGGATGATCTGTTCTGGAACTCTGCCGTCAGAACTGAACAGTCTCCTGAGTTTTGACCACTTTGAAATTCAAGAGATTCTTCCTTGTGTCCAGCCCAAGTCCCTGCTGCTTTAGTTCAGATAGAGGTTCCTCTGGCCAGATCTCAGTGTTTTCTTAGCATGAGACCTTGCCTTCCCTGCTCCCTGCAGGAGCCTGGTTTCCTGGTCCTGGGTCAAGGTGGTAGAAATAAATGCCCAGAGCCAGGCTGCCAGGCTGTGCCCTGTAGTCAAAATTGGAGCCCTGGAGTGGGTTGAGATTCTTTAGACCAGAGTCTACAAACTCATGGCCTGTGGGTTCCATTAGGCCTCTGGAAATCTTAGGTTTGGTTCACACGGGGAGTTCACACAGAGATTCAGACATCTGGCTTCTCTTGAAAATGTGAGGATTCCGCATCCTTGGCCCACACTCCCCAGGGCCACACGGGCCTGCAGCCGGGTCGTGAGAACTCTTCACTGGGGCTCCTGCTCTGTGTGCTTCACCGTCCACACCTGGCCTGGGTCACTCGTGTCCCCTGCAGATGAACGCCAGCTGGGACCTTTGCAGCCAGACCCTCATCCACTTGAGTGGAGGAGAATCTCGGTTCTCATTATTTGGCAGCACTTTCAAAAACATTATGGAAACAACAGTATTGGCAACAGTAACCCAGCTCCACAAGGGAGAACAGTCACCCGTGGTTGAATGTTGACCCCAGCCTGGCTCTCCCACCCCCAGGTCTATTCATTCATCACATATTTATTGAACCTATACTTTGTGTCAGTTTGCCAGGACAGGACCTGGCCCTGGCAGAGGCCTCAGGCAAGGAAGCCTCAGTCCCAGTTCAGTGTGGTGGTGCTGACAGCCGACTCACTCACTCACTCACTCATTCAAGCACTGTAATTTTTAAATCTCATTTACATCCTGGGCTCCGTGCAGGTGCCAGAGATCCGACCAACACGCTCTCTGCCCTCCTGTTGCCCAGAGCCTCGCATGGTTGAGAGTATGATGGGGATGCTAGTGGCCCACTTTTGGGGGAATCACTTTGGGTGATTTGGGGCAAGTCACGTGACCTGTCTGAGTGTCAGTATCCTTTTTCGGAATAACACAAGCTTCCTAGCAGGGTCTTTGTGGGAATCAGAGGGGATGGAAGGCTAGCCCAGGCCAGGGAGAAGGTCCTCTGCATGGTCCCCTCTGCCCACACCTGGCCAGCCCAGTGGCCGGCCCCCAGGGGGTCTCAGCACCTGTGGAATCACTCATAACTGTAACAACCCTTCTTGTCTTTTTCCTCAGGCCTGCCCACCACAGGTATGGGCTTGGGGGCTTTGGGTGGGCACGTGATTCTGGATCTGGGTCTGGGGCCTGGATGCCCTGATGCTGCTGCCTCGTCCTGGGCTCCCCGCTCCGCCTGGCTTGGTTTTGGCCTGAAGTCTGGTGCTTGGGCTGTGAGTTGCCTGGCTGAGCTGGTGTGCTGAGGAGTGGTGTGGGGCTAGCCCTGGGGCTGGGTACCGCGGGCTCTGCAGGGCCTGTCCTCTCTGTCCTGGCAGGGGCCAGCTGGAGATCAGCAGCCTGGTGCCCCTGGGGCCCAAGTACGTGGTGAAGTGGAACACGGCGCTGCCCCAGGTGCAGGTGGTGGAGGTGGGCCAGGAGGGCGGCTCCTGTGATAAGGACAACGTGCTCATCCAGCATGCCGGGGCCAAGAAGGCCTCTG